TGAACTGGGAGCTCACCTGCAGCGGGCTCTGCAGGTAATCCTCGTAGCCGCGGGCGTAGAGCTCGTAGGCCGAGGGCGGCGGCCGGTGCTGGCCCAGGTGCTCCAGGTACTGCAGGTAAGCTGAGAGGGGGCGCCCCCCGTGGTGAGGGGAGCCCTGCACGATGATCTGCACGTCCAGCTGGGGGAGGGGAAACCAGTATGGACCAGTATGGACCAGTATGAACCAGTATGGACCAGTACGAGTCGTTTTTTCCCTTTTTTTTCCCTTTTTTTTCCCCGTTTTTTCCCCATTTTTCCCATTTTTTCCCACTCCCAGTTGCTCCTCTGTGCAGCTAATCCCAGTCCAAACCAGTATAAACCAGTCCAAACCAGTATGAACCAGTATAAACCAGTATAGACCAGTACGAGTCGTTTTTTCCCATTTTTTTTCCCTTTTTTTTCCCGTTTTCTTCCCATTTTTTTCCCCATTTTTCCCCATTTTTCCACTCCCAGTTCATCCCAGTTGCTCCTCCATGCAGCTACTCCCAGTCCAAACCAGTCTAAACCAGTCCAAACCAGTATAAACCAGTATGAACCAGTATAAACCAGTACGAGTCGTTTTTTCCCTTTTTTTTCCCGTTTTTTTCCCATTTTTCCCATTTTTTCCACTCCCAGTTCATCCCAGTTGCTCCTCTGCACAGCTAATCCCAGTCCAAACCAGTCTAAACCAGTCCAAACCAGTATAAACCAGTATAAACCAGTATAGACCAGTACGAGTCGTTTTTTTCCCTTTTTTTTCCCGTTTTTTTCCCTTTTTTTGCCATTTTTTCCCCATTTTTCCCATTTTTCCCACTCCCAGTTGCTCCTCTGTGCAGCTAATCCCAGTCCAAACCAGTCTAAACCAGTTCAAACCAGTATAAACCAGTATAAACCAGTACGAGCTCTTTTTTCCCTTTTTTTTTCCCATTTTTTTCACTTTTTTTCCCTTTTTTTCCCATTTTTTCCCCATTTTTCCCCCTCCCAGTTCATCCCAGTTACTCCCCCGTGCAGCTAATCCCAGTACAAACCAGTATAAACCAGTATAAACCAGTATAAACCAGTATAAACCAGTACGAGCTCTTTTTTCCCATTTTTTTCCCATTTTTTTCCCTTTTTTTTCACTTTTTTTCCCTTTTTTTTCATTTTTTTCCCCATTTTTCCCCCTCCCAGTTCATCCCAGTTGCTCCTCTGCACAGCTAATCCCAGTCCAAACCAGTCTAAACCAGTCCAAACCAGTACAAACCAGTATGAACCAGAATGGACCAGTATAAACCAGTACGAGCTCTTTTTTCCCATTTTTTTCCATTTTTTCCCGTTTTTTTCCCTTTTTTTTCATTTTTTTCCCCATTTTTCCCCCTCCCAGTTCATCCCAGTTACTCCCCCGTGCAGCTAATCCCAGTCCAAACCAGTCTAAACCAGTCTAAACCAGTCTAAACCAGTATAAACCAGTATGAACCGTTTTTTTCTCATTTTTTCCAATTTTTTCCCATTTTTTTCCCTTTTTTTTCATTTTTTTCCCCATTTTTCCCATTTTTTCCACTCCCAGTTCACCCCAGTTGCTCCTCTGTGCAGCTAATCCCAGTCCAAACCAGTTCAAACCAGTATGGACCAGTATGAACCAGTATAAACCAGTATGGACCAGTATAAACCAGTACAAACCAATAACCCCAAATCCCCATTTTTCCCTTTTTTTTCCCCCATTTTTTAACCCCTTAAACCCCTCCCAGTTTGCCCCAGTTCCCTCCCAAACCCGTCCCAGTATAAACCAGTACAAACCAGTAACCCCCAATCCCCATTTTTAACCCTTTCATCCCCATATTTTCCCCATTTTTAACCCTTTTTTCCCCGTTTTTTTTCCCATTTTTCCCCATTTTCCCCCTCCCAGCCCCTCCCAGTATAAACCAGTATAAACCAGTAACCCGCAATCCCCATTTCCCCCTTTTTTCCCCATTTTTCGCTCATTTTTAACCCTTTTTTCCCCATTTTTAACCCTTTTTTCCCCGTTTTTTTTCCCATTCTCCCCCTCCCAGCCCCTCCCAGCCCCTCCCAGTACAAACCAGTACAAACCAGTACCTTGAGCAGCTGTCCCAGCAGGCGCTGGTGGCCCCTGCCCAGCACTGGGAACCCTTTCTTG